GGCTCAAGAGATCACAAACCAATGGAATTTAAATTAAATGGAAAGATAAAAGCAAGTGTAAAACCAAGGTCCTTCATTTCAAAGGGAGGAAATGATAAACTAGGCGAGGTAAAGCTATGTGCATAGGAACGTAAAGGAGAAATCAGATTTCTTTAAGCCAAAGGTGCAAAAAATGAAACACTTATTTTAAGTTGGACAGCAAACAAGGATGAGTGACCTCAACATAGATTTTGCTTCATCAAGTCATTACATTTAATCCCCAAAGTTACCTTCATTTCAAGAAGCTAGTCCAAAGCCTTTCTCATCTTGCTCTCAACTCCATTGTACAAATCCAGCTCTTCTAAATAACATTAGTCCTTCTATTCATGCTCAGATATACACCACTTTCAGATTACACATTCCATGAACACAATATATTCCTTAGGAACTCATGAATATTTAAAGATAATAAATGAAAAAGATAATAATAATTGAAATCACAGTTTGCATTTGAATATATCTTTAGAAGAACATGGAAGTTGGTCAAATTTTGCAGGAAGAAAAGAGTAAGAAAGCCTTCGGAATGATGAGTAACAGCATGCTGTATTGGGGGGAAAGTGCAAAATTTGAATATTAAACTATGCCAGTGAAGGTGATTTAATTATTTTGTAGCTAAAAACCCACTTTGACCAATAAAGACTGCAAATTGGAAATTGAAAATTATCACTTCAGTTTACTTCCACTTTGCAATAATATGTTCTTAAAAATAACCAGTTACTGATTTGATGAACAAAGGCATTGCCTCACGTTTTAGAAGAGAATCTCATTTAGCAATTTAGAAGTCATTAATTATATAAACATTTATATCTCCTAATAAGGGTAAATGCTACTCAATTGGAGTTCCTATTCTGTTTGAGGGTCTCTGGCAAGTTGGCTACTAAGTGAAAGTAAAATAAATCAATGAGCATATTCAAATTATGCAAAGCACAGAAAAAGAAAATCCAAATCTCTAAACTTTATTAAGTTTTAGCCACAGGAAATTAATAAATAGGCTAATAAGTAAGTGTGTGTGTGTGTGTGTGTGTGTGCGTGTGTACCAAAATATATATTTTTTCTCTCTCTCTCTAATTATATAAATAAAACCACAGAAAACCTTTTGCTAAGTTTTTTTGACTGCTACCTTATCAATTATGAGAGAGCTATTTCTTCATCTAAAAGAGAGGAAGGATTAAGACAGATCAGTAAAGTCTGATTAAACTAGCTTAACATTTCTGTAAACAAAGGAATACAGAAAAGGCTCAAAAGGTAAAAGTACAATCCACATTTAATAGACTTACTGTAAATAATTTCTGAGAAATATCACAGTCGAAATTGAAGCAAAAAAATCACAGGGGATAACCTGAAATAAACAACAGCTGTCTGCATGACTCATTATATGCTAAGTATGTTAACAAATATGTAATATTTTTAGTATTTCTTGAAATACTGTAATCTTATATAAGCTTTTGAGAGAAACATAAGATTAATATAATAGAAAGGCTGAAATAGCACTTTACAAAATGTAAGCAAAGAGTATTCGGGGGAAAAATAACCTTTCCTTTAGATATAATTTTAACATATTGGAAACATGGATATCTTGCTGAGAGTACACAAAGAAATGAGGCAGACCCATGCTGCCTACAAATCCATTACAATAAATGTAGCCCAAATACTAATGGCTGAATACTCTACTGCTAAAGGTAATAAGAGTCACTGATTTAACTGGGAACCAGATCAAGTTATAACACAGAAGCACCTGCCTCCACTGTAGCTGGCAGTCAAAGATGCCAAGTTCCAAAAAAAATTTGCTTTTTTTCACATACCATTTTGCCAGCTTCTCTCTCAAACATGCTCATCCTCAATCCAGATAAACAGGTACAATCTCATTACAGTACTTTGTAAATAACTGTTCTAATAAAACATGAAAACAAAACTGATAACTCCTTTATTTCATAAATATTGCTATATATGAAATATTTTAAAGATTTATAACTCTGTTAAAGCTTGTTATAGACTGCCTTTATTTTCAACACAGAAGTATCCATATAAAGTTTTCGAAGGCTGTAGCAGTGTTTCATTATCTTCTGTTACTTTTTCCTCTCCTGTATAATAGGATCAATTACAGATGTTTTTATGAGAAAAAAAAACCACACATTTCCCTAAGGGTGGACTTAGTAAATAAAAACTTTTTTTTCACCTTTGGGATAACAGTCCCAATTGAATGTCCTAGGTTAAATTATTTTTTGGTTTGAAAATGTGCTGGTTTGGTGGCTCCCAGAAGGCAGAGGCAATGTGCATCATAAATAAGAAACACATTGGTAAAATTGTCTTTCAGCTAAGACAGAAAAACCCCTTCCCTTTCTCCCCTCTCTCCTACCCCCACAACATGCTTACCCTTTTCTTACAAACCAGAGTCTTTCCACAGCAAACTGAATATCACTGTCAAGCCAACCAATTAAAGCTGTGTTTTAATTTAACCAATGTATAAATACAGAATTTCACTCTCAACTGTGGAAGTGCAACAAAGGTATCCTGGGTCTCATCAGAATTTAAGAAGAGTTCCAAGCTGGAAAAGCTGTTTGACTCTAAGAACTTGTCTACAGTTACAAACCTCCCAAAATAGTTAGTCTATAGAAATTTTTCCAGAATAGTTATTTCAGTGTGAACTCCCTTGTGAACACTTTGATTCCAAGAGAAAAGTGCCCTTTTTACCGTAGTACAAACACAGTACACCCAACCAATTTAGAAAAGAGAAATCTCTTTCCAGAATAGAGTGGTCACCTATGGGCTCACATTCAACTATTTAACAACAATTTTTTGCTAACAATACAAGCATTAATTTTAATTGAGTTGATTAATAATTCCAACATAATAAGCTATGACTTAGCTACAAAATGAAAAAAAATATCCTGCGTAACTTCACAACTCTCACCCAGTATTTCATTGTCTGCTGACTTCACTGTTACCGCCTCACAGTTTGGCTGCCTTCAGGCTATAAACTCAGATGGTCTGGAACAGCCTGATTCTGCAGAAAACTAGTATGAGAGATTGCAGGTGAATCGTGCAGGCCTCCCATACAACCTATCGAAGTACAATAATGTGAAGTATTATACAGTGAACAGATGAAGACACAAACATGCCAGCCACTAAGAAAGTCATTTTGAGGCTTCAATCATATTGAATGGACAGTTGCTGCAGCTGAAAATATGACCTTTAATACACTTTTAAACAAAATAAAAACCTGTTGTGGGATTTATGAAATAGAGTTTGAAAGTAATTGCAGCAAATGTCCTAAAAGTTACAAGCAGCTCTCAATATTTACTTCGTATATTTTTCATCTGTCTTTGTTCTTTTGAATTCATAATAGATGCATGCACTGGAAACCTGTCCTGATAAATGTGCTAGCACAAAAGCGTGTAAAGAAACATCTTGTAGCGAAGAAAATTTAAGCAGAGCAAATGAATATCTCCATAGAACAAATGACTACTCTTTCACTTCGTATAATAGAGGAAGATTTAATGTGTGCTTTTTTAGAGAGCCACCCTTACGGTCACTTTAATGTCCTTGTCTTAAATGTAAAAAGGAGATAATTGAACTTTCTTATCTTTGTGAGCTATTTGAGACTGAAAGAAAATATACGTTACAAATTTTTAGTTACCTTGCTAGCCATTTTCTTCAGAAAATTCGTGCTTGAATCCTATCACTGACTCGCATCTTGCTACGTAACTCAAAGATACGTTTCTTGTCACCCAATTCATAATTCAACATTACTCTGACATTACTTACAGTCTTTTTGTTTCCCACCAACATTGCATTCCACTAATTACATCAGCTTTTCAACTTGTCACCTTTTCACTTTATTTGTCTGTATGCCTCTTCTCTTACCTTATCTTTCACATGTTCCTTATTCCTCCATAGTTCAGCTCCTGTTGAAGAATTATTTTTGCATTTCCTCCAGTGGAATTACTAGCTGAATTACTTATAACATGTAGACTGATTTTTAAAACTCACGAGAATACAAATTTCTTCTGCCTAGACCTGGCAAATAATTACCTTATTCATCCTATTTGTATGCTGTACCATCCAAAGAGCCTCTGTTTCTTTATCTTTCATATGTTTCGAAACTTCTAACACTTTCTATCTGCAAACTACTTCACCTTTAGGGAGGGGTATATTTTAAACAAACAACTCTTCCACAGCGGAGTGCTCAAAATGCCACACTGGAAAAGCAATTATGTATAATCATACAATTAAGCTGTGAAAGTTTCTGTTTTGGATGATTTTTTCCTAAAGCTTTGGTTCTTCCCTTTGGAAATTAGCATGTCAGATTCACCTACACAAAAAAAAAAATAGTATAGAAAATACCTTGTTGATAATTAATTGCTTTGCTGCCTTAAATTCCTTAGAACAACATGAAATGACTGGGGAGCATTAACTCTAAATTACAGTACAAGAATAGGAATTTCCTTTTAACTGATTTTTTTGAGAATTAGAATATGCATGCTAATCTTTCTGATGTATGAGTCCATATCTATTTGATGGTCACATTATTACAGTGATTTTGCCACAATCTCATTTAACTTTCTGTCAAGTGAAAAAAAAAGTGTGGGGAGGAGCCTCAAGAGTTTGTGTATGTGTTTTTTTTAATCTGATTTCAATAGTTTTTAGTCTACTATATATATCAGCAGTTGGAATAAGTTAGACTGAAAAAATAATTATAACATGACAATGTTATCTAGTGAAGTATAATGGGGTTTCTACATATATAAGCACAAGATAAGTTCCCTTAGTTTAAAACCTGTTTCATCACAGTTCTGACACAATCCATAATTCAACTGCAGTCACAAAGTGAAAATATAAAGCTAAAATTAATAATTTCAGGCTCCTCTCTCCACAGGAAATAATCAGGCACATTGAAAAAAGTAGCATAATTAAAATACGAAAATATCTAACTAAAATGAACATAAAATAAGGCTACTAACCTACAGCATGAACTGTTCCTCTATGCTTCTTTGAAATCTTGCTTGCCTTAACTACATGTAGAGCATTTTCTTTGAACTGCAGCTCACAAAGTCTTTCAAGAAGAACTGTCATTTCTTCAGTGATGGTATGGAGATAAGTTTCATTAATAAACTTCAGTGATGAAGAAGGATCAATAGCTCCACTTAGGATATACAAATCCTCTTTTATCATTGTGCACAATGTAGGTATGGAGCTTTGGTAACCATGAACCACCTTATCAAAATTTGTCTCACCACAGCTAGACAGAAGACAGTTCTGTAGGAGATCACTAACCAGTTTATTCTGCATATTTTGATACTTGGTTAGGACTTCTGATTCAGGATAAAGAAACAAAAGCTGCTGTATGCACTGTGTTTTAAACTGCATTTGTTGTTGTAAAGCACTGGTATTTGTTTCTTCTTGACTTTGCAGTCTATTAACTAAAAATCGCCGAAGATGTAATCTCACATCATCCCAAAGAGATTTAACATCCATGGTTGAACTATCCTCAACGGCATGAAGAGAAGACGTCCATTCAAAAGGTGTCCCACTTGGAGTACAGGGAAATGAGACACCACACTGACTAGAGAGATCCAGAAGGAAGTGAAGTATCATTTCTTCTTGATTTTGTTCATTCTTAAGCAAGGTTTGCTAACAAAGGTAAATGAGATAGTATTTTAGAAATGTTTTCTTAACCCCGGTTAATAAAATTAAAAACTTTGTGTTACAGTACTAATTATTTTAATTGCTAATTATCTTACTAGCAAATAAGAGACTATAATAAATAGCTTCATAAAAACCAAAACTAACGAAGGCTGTTTTCCCAAGGATTTATGCCCCAATCCATCTCCTTGTCCACCAACTCCAATAAACCCATGTTTTTCTTCCCATCTTTCTTATATGCTCAATCCCTTTTCTCAATCAATTCTAACCTACAATTCAAGGGAAAGCCATAAACAACCACAGTTCATTAGATAAGCCTTAGCAGATGATGGAGCCTGTTTACTGTAGTCATGTACATATCTTGGAAAGAAAACGGCATGAAAAAATACTCAGGACTTACAAGGAAAATGACAGGTTTTGCTCATAAAAACAAGACAGGAATTTATAAAAGTATACATTTTTGCTTTCTGTACTCTGGTTC